ACGCTGTGAGGTCATTCGACTATGAACAGTTCAGGAGTTTTAAAGTCCAAGTGATGGCCAGAGACAATGGTTCTCCTCCTCTCAGCAGCAATGTGACTGTCAGTGTGTTCATATCAGATGTAAATGACAACTCTCCTCAGATCCTGTACCCGGCACCAGAGGGCAGCTCCTTCATGACTGAGTTAGTCCCTAAAGCTGCACATGGAGGGTCTCTGGTGTCCAAAGTGATAGCAGTGGATGCAGACTCTGGACAGAACGCCTGGCTGTCCTATCATATAATCAAAGCCACAGATCCTGGACTTTTCAGTATTGATCTACACAGTGGAGAGATCAGAACACAGCGGGACATTTCCGAATCTGACAGCATGAAACAGAATTTGATTGTTACTGTGAAAGATAATGGACAGCCCTCTTTGTCTGCCACCTGCTCAATTTATTTACTTATTTCTGATAACTTAGCTGAAGTGCCGGAACTGAAAGACATTTCTTATGATGAGAAGAACTCCAAGTTGACCTCTTATTTGATCATTGCACTGGTTTCTGTGTCCACTTTCTTTCTGACCTTCATCATCATTATACTTGGAGTGAGGTTTTGTCGCAGGAGAAAGCCCAGACTGTTGTTTGATGGAGCAGTAGCCATACCAGGAGCTTATCTACCTCCAAGTTATGCAGATGTTGATGGCACAGGAACTTTACGCAGCACCTACAATTACGATGCCTACCTGACAACAGGATCTAGAACCAGTGACTTTAAGTTTGTATCATCTTACAATGACAACACTCTGCCTGCTGACCAGACTCTGAAGAAAAGTTTGAGTGATTTTACTGAGGCTTTTGGAGAACTGGAAGGATGCTCAGAGGTATGATGACACTCTTAAGCCATTTTTGCATTTACCCCCTCCTGTAGCGTCCCGGTTGAAAAGATGGTCTCTTTCACTGATGGTTCACGTTTCTTTATTTAACAGCCTTTATACATGAACACACCGTAAGAGCTATAAACATACAAATAAAACACCATTAGTAATTCTTAGTGGTTCTAACCTTTTCCTTTAACCTATAAGACTTACTTTATGTAATAACATTACATTTACATCACGTGTATTTAATTAACCTACATTTCTATACTACAAATTAACCAAAATGTATTTCAACTGTTTTAACAGTTTGACAGTTAATCAAACATTAACATCGTTTTATATCAAAATACAAAAATTATGTTCAATAAATACAATATTCTCGATAAAACACCCACCTTGTTCCCTCATCAACCGAGTGCTATTTAACTAATTGCTTGGACCTTAGTTGAACCACCCTTTAGTTGTCTTCACTGAACTGCGACTTGTATGTTTGCTCATTCTCTGCACTATATCTTAAACAGACAACAGTCAGATACTGTCAGATGTTTGTATAGATTGCTTAGCAACTCTGACTTCCAAGAAAACAAAAAAAAAACTCTTTTCAAATCAAAACGTCAGTTAAAAAACAACAAACAACTTCCAGCTAAATGAGGAAACACCAAAAGAAAATAACAAAACAAATATAAAAAAATAAAATAAAGAAAGTCAATTACATATATATGAATCAACAAAAGCTTTACCCCCTCCTTCATACCCTCATACTTATTTACATATTTGTGTATTTGTTTTTGCATATTGAAATAGTTCTTAACATCATTTTCTTGAACCAAAAGTTTCCTAGATTTAATTATTTGCTTTGTCTGCTCTACTGTGTCTTATTTCTGGTAGTTCATATTAGGTTTAGTTGTGTCCTTTATGAAATGCACTCAGTCTGTGCAAAGTTGTTTTTTTCAGTTTGACTCTATGTTGTCTTGCGATTTG